CAGTGCAACTTGACACCAATAATGCATGCAATGCATGCATGCAACTTGACACCAATAATGCATTATGCAAATTGGACGCCATGCACCGTCCAGTTCTTGGTGGACCTAGTGATTTTGGACCTGACTAAATGTATGCATTACCCTAAACTGAAAGAGCAGTGGGACGAGCCGACAATAAGTTGAACCCTATGCTGACAATAATTTGTGCATTTCCAGGTATGTTTCCTGGCTTTACCGCTATGCTGGAGTCATAGCAAATTGCGGCCAGCTGGGATTGAAGCAGCTGAGGGGGATCATTGCATCGTACAGGAGCCAAAGTCACCAGTTTAAAACAGGAACTCGTTGGCAGGCTTATGACATGACATTATGACACCGCTTATGACATATATGATGATCTCGACCAATCCTAAGTTACGAATGTGGTGAAGCAGCCAGTAGTCTTCCTTGCCTGCACGCATACCACTGACTATCGCTGGAGGAAGCCCAGGCTGCGAGTGCCGACGGTGGATGCTGGAACTACGCATATAAGGTTACATGAGTGCTGAAGATGTCACCTCGCTGAATGCCACATTCTCGCAGGATTGCTTTCCCATGTCTTATTCTGCAAAACTTGGCAGATCTCAGCAAAGTCTCACTGGAGCTGGCTGGGGCAAAAAGCAGAAATCTTTGGTAGTGTTCTGAAACAGTTCATTCGCCTGGTTTTCATTCATTTATTTTCTGTATGAAACATCTCGCTGGATATGAAAAATACAAGGCTGATAAGAATCCAAGAAACGATTCTGCTCCTTACAGGATCTTTGAAATCATTCCAGACTGGACATTGGTTCTTGCTGGATACCAAATGTAGTACTAAAATACGTGCCGGATCTTGCTGGATCCCTGGATTTTCCACGTATATTTCAGCTCCTGTTAGACCCCTAGGTGCATGCCATGCTGGATCTTTGTTCCCGCTGGTTCCCCGATCCAGTATTCGCCTGGAACCTGGTTCTTGGTTGATCTTTTAGCTTAACACGCGCCCGGGTGGCCGGTTGGACACCCTTCGCTCGGGTGGGGATCAATTTGACCCCCTGAGGTGTTAGGAACTAACAAAGCTAGAGACACCAAATTCGCAGGTTTGTTGGCCTACGCGTGAACTCACTCAGGTCAAAACTTGAGGTTCCTAGGTCACAACCTTCGGGTCAAATATGTTCAAGTAAGGTCAAACTCCAATTTCGTCTCCAGACTCTCCACGGAATATATATATATATATATATATATATATATATATATATATATATATATATAGATAATATATAATCAAAAGGTCACATGTTCGTTTAAGGCGAGGGACCTTGTTTGACCTTTTGAAGGTCATGGTGACCAAAATCGTAAAGACTGTTCTGAGTTTTGCAATTGAATAAGCGACAAATATTTCGCTAGGCAGCATGTTCCAGAAACAAAATGTTGACCTGGGTCATTTCATGTCAGTCACCTATTCTGACCTTGAAGAAGTTCATGGAGGATGTATAGTTTGGTTGTTTGGATTGGAGTCCTTTCGACCAGAAATTATCACTTCAGGGCTAAGGGATGAAGGAAAATGGCTAACGTTGGGGCAGACTTGCATGTGCTCGGAGGGCCAACCGTCGGGCGTTGACCCTTGCATGTGCGCTGGGTATCAGGTGCCCCTTCCCACGGGGCTCTCGGCCCACTCATGGCTGACGCGTGCAGTTCGTTCCAGACGAGCGAGGCGTCGCGAGATAGATAAAGGAAGAATAAAGGAAGATAGAAGATAAAGGAAGATAGAAGACAAGAGGGTCAGATGCATGGAAGACGTATAATGCGGTTTCTGTTATCAATAAATTCGACATGAGCACTAAACACATTTCCATACAGCAAGCTCTAGAGCAATAAAACAGGTTAGTTTTGACTTTGGTATGACCTTCATGTCTGACCCTGGGTCAGTGAAATTTGGTCATTCCATTTTTGTGTTGTCTCAGAAAGTATTGCAGGGATGTATGGTTTCGTCTAACACTCCGTTGTTGCATCAGATTGAAAGATACCCTTAAGACTCACTTGACTCATTCCATGGCCTGACTTTGACCTGCCGTAGGTCAGCAACCTTACAAGGCACATCTTAATTTTTCATACCGAACAATTTGCTATTTAATTGTCTACAGCTATGCAAAGTTTGGCGTGGCTACACCTCACCGTTCAGAAACAATTCTGGGAAAACCTTCGGGGGCTCAAGTTGACCTCACCCTAGCGCGTTTAATATCAGACTGGCTCCTGGTAATCCTGTTTGCTGGTTACTGTTTCTCTCGGCTTGATTCTGGACTGGCCCCTGGATGCTTCCTAGTTCCGAAAGCAGGAACCAGGGACTCGCTCCCGGGAAGAAGTCTTGGGAACAAGGAACTTGTCTAGCCTAATTTTCCGCTTAAATCACCTGAAATATTCAGGTATGCAAGAAAGCTGCAATCGATAAACCACCGCTAATCGTCCACAAATATGACAAAAATAAATTGCGTGCTAAGCATTCAAACATGCAATTCAAATTCCTTGGACTGCACTTTACAAAAAGAATGCCCAGCTTGGCCAGACGGCAGCTGGAGAAAAAAAGCTGATCCTGTGTGCACCGGACATATCTCTCGGGAAGCATGACGCATTTAGCCAAAGCATAGCGGAGGCAGGTGCCCAGTCTGTGTACTGAGTCTTTATAAGCGCGTGACGTAAGTAAAACAAAACACGCATGTTAAATGAAACGCATGTGTAAAAAAAAGCGTGTCAAACTGCATCTCGGGCAACTTCTGAACAAATGTGTGATATTTTCAAATTGTGGAATGGTCGCGCACGCCTCTGTCACACGACTTCACATCAAATTTTGATAATTTGATTATCACGCCTGACTTGTGGCCAGAAGTGCGCAGAGCGTCACTCATGCATGCTTGGAGCCGTCACGCTGGCATATGTCTTAAATAGCACGCACAATAACAAAAACAGAGAGGGAACCGCGTAAGGGTCACGAACACCCTCCAATAGCCTTATCATTATGGATTCGTAATTACATTAACTGCTCCGTAATTACATGAGCTGCATGCATCACAAAAAGCTGTACTATCTTGTGTTTTTACGTAACTCTCTGTCTGGAGGCTGGTCGTATCGACACATAGCGTCCTTCAATGAAGTGGATCTGCTCGTGGATCCATTGTTATTCGTAGTATGTGCTTGCCGGGCTGCTTATGTGCCTGAGGATAGCATTGCGTTCTTTTGAATAATTTCGTGAGGCGCGCCAATGATAACGTCCATTCGGCTGCATTCTTATCCTCGTTATTCTAAAGGTTTCGTCTTCTTATCTCGTGCCGAGAACGTGGTCCATTCAAGTTAATTTTTTTCGCGTCGCGGGCGTGACCTTCAAGACTGGAGCTGCCGATCTGCGAGCGGCGCGACTCTGCGGAACATCGCCTCAGTGCCCTGGGCAGCGACGCGCCGCGTCCGTCCGCAGCCGGTCCGAACGCAGCCGCTGCTGCCGCCGACGGTAGCGGGGCAACACGCTGCTCCCGTCTTACAACCCTGACAGCCAACCGCCGCTCTCTCCGTCGCCCCCCCCCCCCCCCGTCATCAACGGCGACCGAGATCATCCAGCAATCCCCGCCATCGCGTCGTGCTATCGCCGGGCATCTGACTCCCACGCAGATCACCGTGCGTGGCTGCACTGGCTGGACGAGTGCGCGATGGCCTCATCGCCAACCGAGAAAAACTGCAACGCACGGCATGCTCGGGTTCACTAGCACCGAAAGCGGGACCTCGACGCGAGCACAGCACAGGAGCTTTCGAGGCCGGGGAGGGGGACCACACCGCACAGACCACGGGCCCGCAGTCATGCTAACGCGGTCTGCAAGAGGTCTTGCGGCCTGGTGTGCGGTGGCACAGGGCCTAGACCTATTTCAGAGTCCTAGTTAGACAGGAGTCCGCGCCATCCCACGACTTGGGAAATACAAAACCACGGCGGGGAGACGCGCCGGCCTGTCGCCGGGTCGCCCGAGGAGATGCCGACGCGCTCGAGAACGCTGCCTCGCAGCCGGAGGACTTCTGCCGACATATGCAATCATTCTGCTGGCAGCGAGGCCACGCAGCTGGCGCTGCAAAACCGCAGGGACCCGGAACACGCCGAGGCCTGTCAGCCCCCGTACGCAGACCATACGTCACTGTCGGCGCCATGGCTAAAGGCGCCGCTGTGGTCTCGGCGATGAGCGCACTGACTGGTTTTTATGCGAGATCGGGCTTTGTTACGATCTTTCTAATTCTCGCGGGGATGTGCTGTGGTCAGCATGAAATGAGGATACACCTAAAATGTGGTGCAGGTTTTGTGCGCCCAAGGCTACATTTGCAGTAGTTGAGTGATGCTGTGCTATCAGTTGGGATCAAGTGGAAATTTTCAGCTTTGCTTCCTATCACAAAACAAACATTGCGTGAGTCAATCCTGCGAATACCAAGCGCTGTTCTGGCTGCCTTGTCCGCTAGCTGGTCGGATCGGGCATCGTTGCGTCGCAATCCCATGTCGTCGATGGTCGCTCAAGCTGCTGCTGATTCAGTACTTCCGGTGAGCTTTTCAGAAGAAGCACTGCTCGGAAGAAAACACAGTCACGTGATAGTTTCTGTTGTTTTGTATTTTGACATACAAGCGTGGTAACCTAAACATTCATCACGCAGGCACACAAACCACACGCGCTTAATGGACATATATATGAGGTACCCCAACGAACTGGGAACACGGGCCGATGGGGTCACAGGTGATTTGCATGGTATGCGATATACAGGATAGCATCAGAGCGGACCACTACATGTGTGGCGCTCGCTCGGCAGTAGAGGGCGGCGCGCGGCGGCCCGCCGGCGGTGCTCCGGTCCCGCCGGCGCTCCGTCGACCACTGGCTACTGGTCGCACGACTTCGGTGCATCAGGTACCTGAGAGAGGCGCGGCCGGCCGGCCGGCGGCGGCGCGCGCGGAACAAGACACGCAGTCGCTCTCAGTAGTAGAAGCTGCTAGCCACGCACCTACCATCGATGCAGTGCATGCCCCTGCCGCAGGGCGAGCCCTCGGCCGCCGGCCGGAACGACACGCAGTAGCCGGTGGATTCCTCGAAGCAGTAAAGCTCGACGCACACGCGTTGGTCCCTGAAGCAGACAGTGGAGTCCCGGTCCCGCTTACACTGCGCGTCCAGGCTCATCAGCTTCCCCGGCAGCGACTTGACTGCCGGCAGGTTGCCGCGCTCCACGGGGTAGTTCTGCATGCAGCGCGAGCGCCGGTCGCTGGCGAAGTGCGCGAACTGGTCCAGGCTGCAGACGGACCACCTGAGGCCCTTGTGGTCGCGGCGCAGGTCGGACATAATGTAGCCGTCCTTCCAGGCGCAGGAGCGGGCACCCGGACCGCCCAGGTACGCAGCCGGTGGCGAGCCGTCGTGCACAGACCCCAGCAGGTGACCCAGCTCGTGTGTGGCCACGATGATCCCCGAGAAGCCGCCCGTGTCCTCGATCAGCGCCACCGAGTTGATCTTGTTGTGGTACTTGCTGATGCTGCAGCCGCCGCCGACGTAAGCATAGCCGGCCGTCACCTTGTTGCAGGAGCCCCAGCTGGTGGTGCGCGTGCACATGTCACGCTTGGTGATGACCATGACGGCGTCGTAGCTGGGCAGCCGGCGCTCGGTAAACAGATACCTACCAATCGACTCGAGCGCGCGCACCGCGTTCAGGGCCTTGCTGCTGACCATGTTGCTCTCCAGGTAAGGCGTCGACTCCTTGCTCTTGCTGATGACGATGCCGGCCACCTTGATGGTGATGGAAGGCTGCGTGACGGTGCGGTAGCGCAGGTCCACTGCGTTCATGAAGCTCATCAGGTAGCGCTTGAGCGTCTTGGCGTTGAAGCTGTGCGTCATGTACGTCTCGTAGTCGACGATGAGCAGCACCTCGGGGTAGAGGTCGTTCACCGCGCGCTTGTGGCGACTGCCGGCCTTGGCGCCGGTGGCAGCGTCGGCGGCGCTCGGCTCAGGCTCCAGCAGCAGCGCGTCGTCATGAGGAAGCGGCGCCGAGCCGGCAGCGCCCGGCGCCGTGACGGCGCGCCGGAAGATGACGTGCAGACCGCGGGTTACCGGCGGCGTCGAGCGGCGCTGGCGCAGCCGACCCGTCCCGTTGTTCTGCTCGTGCGGAACGTCCAGGTCGCTCCGCTCCTCCTCGATCAGCATCACGTCGTCGTCATTGGGCGCCGCGTACTGGTGGTGCAGACGCCGCGGCGCCGGCGCGAGGACCAGGTCGGCGACGACGCCGTTGAGCTGGAGCGTGTCGTCGTCGGCGTGGTCGACCAGCAGCGCCGCCTCGCGGCTCACGTCCTGGTACGGCTCGCCCACGTACATGTCCGTGTCGCCATCGACGCGCTCGATGCTGATGTCGTCGCCCACCGAGTCGGCGTAGAAGAGGCGGATGTTGTTGTCGATCTCGCGGTTCATCTCCAGGTCGAGGTCGATCTCGTTGCCGAAGGCCTTAACGTGCACGCTGCGCCGGTGTCGACCGTCCAAACTGCGCTTGCTGACGGAGCGCACGTGGAACAGGTCGTACTCGGGCACGTCCTCGTGTCGATCGACAGAGAAGGTTTGGCGCAGCTCGTCAACAGAGAGGTGCAAGTGCAGCGTGTGCTGCGGTGACGCCTCCGAGGCGGCCACGGCCAGCTCGCCGGGTGAAGTCGCCAGGCCGGCCGCGCAGGAGGACATCAGCACCAACAGCTGGGATAGAGCGCGCGCCATTTCGATCAGGGAATTTGCAGCTGCGCTCTCAGGAAAGCGAGTGGAGCTGGGTGGCTGGAGACCAGGGGTGACGGGCCAAAGCGTCTCCCTAGTCGGCGGAGGGACCTTTGCCCTGCTGAGTCGGTGGTCGACTTGGTGGCCGTCCGACGCCGGGCGCTATATGTACCGAGCCGAGTTCGAGGCGGCGCCCAATCAGAGGCGGCGGCCGGGCTGACGTCAGCGGCCGGCGCGTGGCGCGCTCTGTGCTCGCCGACAAACGACGGCGGCCCGCCGGGCTGCGGCACGTGCGCCCCTCTGACAGCTGACTGGGGTCACCGGCGGGGCCGGCACGCGCAGCGCGGCCGCCGACTGTCTCGGCAGAGCGATGCACGACAGCCGAGTTGACCCAGGACGGAGGAGGCCGCGGCGACAGCCGGGGAACACCTGCAATGGCCTGTCACTGGATGCTCGCGACTTGGGTAAGGCAGTGTCGGGAACAGCACGTGTTATGCTCAACGATAGGCCCTCTCGGTAAAGCGATAGGCCACCAACAATAATTTTTCTAGCCAACGGGCTGAAGAAATGGATGTTACTTGCTGAAATCGGCTGGAGAGGTTCGAACAAATCGAATTAATCGAACCTGCCCCCAAATTCTGATTTTCCGCGAAACTCGACCATTTCGATTTGCGCCCGCGATGTCAAAATGAAAACTTAAAAGAATATATTTGGTCGGTTCTAAAGGTGCTTTGATATTGAGGAGTGACTGCCCATTTGCAGGAAATGTGATAGTAATAATGATGATATATGATCATATTGGTATTGATACGTGTCGGTGCCCGGTATAGCAGCGGTCCAGCCACTTAATGCATTTCATTGGACCAGCATTCCTTTTTTCCTTCTATGTATTAGGAAGGGGGGAGGGGGTGATCAGAAGTGCGTTGAAGGGGCTCAAGTCAACATGCAGGGGGAGCTTAGAAAGAAAGTATAAAAAGTAAGACCCCTAGCTAAAGCCGTTACCACAAAAGAACATCACCAGTCCGATGTAGAATGGAACGTTTTTCTATGTGGTTAAGTCTCAGGTCCTTGCTAACGGCACTGTGGGTGGCTTTGTGATTGATGTGCACGCTCAGCTCATTAGTGTGTATCTATCAATTTAAATCGCACCGGACTAGGGCACAAGGAAGGCAACAGATCCTCAGCACTGTGTGTTTGTCTGCAGGCCCGGAACAGCGCCGCCCAAGCGTGGTGTATTGGCGTAAAGGTAACAATCTTTTGATGAGCATCTTTCCTCACGAAAATGCTGAGGAACCCATATGTACATGTAAGGCCCATACAATTATGACCCCACCATCAGCGAACGTTCACAAAGAGATGGCGATTGTGGTGAGTCAGGCCTCACACTGTACCCTGTATGGCCTCTTGATCTTGCAGATTTGGATGACATCACCGAGCTACGATCTCAGGAAATGTCTATCTTTCGGGACCTCCTTGCCAACAATTGGCTGTGCATTTCCACAGCCGATTCAACACATTCAGGGTAACTACAATAGACGGAAATACTGGTCATTGGTCGGCCAATAGGCTCTATCCTGACTTGTAAGGCGATTCAAATTGCATAGGTCAGGCCACGGACGTACGTGTCCGAGCCACTGATGGCTGTGTTCACCGGCTGCAGCACCACGGCTGACAATGGGCCGCTTGTGTTGAAGCGGACTTCGTCCATTGGGCCGGTGGGTACCAGCTGGCTGTCCGACAGTGGTGCACGAGGCTCCCTTGGGGCCGGTGGGTACCAGCTGGCTGTCCGACAGTGGTGCACAAGGCTCCCTTAGGGCCAGTGGGCACCAGCAGACTGTCCGACAGTGGGTCCGTCCGTCGGTGCTGAGGGAGGTCGCCTGTCCCCGTGACCGGAACCGAGCGTGTTGACCGGTGACCGCGCGCCGCCCCGACACTACACATGCATCACGCAAACGGAAATGCACAGCGCGGTTGTTCAAAAAACATGTTCTTCTTAGAAGCACTTTATCTGATTGATTAATACTCCAATGTCTTTTTGACAGATTAAGAACGCGCCTACCTTTTACTCAAAGAATTACGAGGTGTGCTTCAACCTTTTGCCACGATGTGATTTGGTGTTATCCGTGCATGCCGCCTAGAGGTCTCCAAGCCTGTAATCCCTTTAAGAAGCATGCATATGTGGAATGCTCAGATCTTTGCGGTTAACTAACGTGATTGATGCCTGATGTGTGCATCGACTTATAAAAGGAATCATATTCAGTGTACGGTCATCGACAGGCTCGGCAAGCCTCGTCGATGGATCGCTTACGACGTCTGGGCGTAACTCACCCCACACCGGGAACGAGCGCGCCTCCTACGCGCTCGCGCGCCAGGTCCGCGCGCCAGGTCCGCGCTGGGACTCAGGTCCCGCCGCCCAGCTGCGCGGAGACAGCACCTTCACCTCGGGCAGCATTTGCCATGCGTGGCGTGGTTCATCATTTGTGTGCCGATGCCCGGTACATCTGGTTACTGCTGCAGATTCGCTCAGCTACGTTGAAATGCACGGCAATGCTAAAAGCTGCCATCCTCTTGAGCTTGTCCATCCTATCTATACTGTAGACAAGCCCCCACACCAAACAGATACATCGTTCCAAAGGAGGTCGCTTCTGGACACCAGCCGTTTATGATACCGAGCCATGCGGCACCATCGGCGAAAGCCCCGAAGCGGCTCACGTTCAGGCGTTATCGGAGCCAGCTCAGCGATTTCTCTTCGTCCCCATGGGTAAGAGAGCACTTTCGAGCAGCTTGCTAAGATACGTCACGGACTTTTCCCTCCTTTCAAGTCGCTATGACACATGTCATGCGTGAGACCTGGCCCCAGGGTCCACGTCTCGTCAAACGCGCGGCTACACTTGACCAGATCCATCTCAACCTTAAAGCGAGCAGCCGCGGCTCGCAGGGCAGTGCTGTTTTGTCGAAGAACGCTGCACTTACCTCATCCACAAACACCGCGAGCTAGTGGTGTTTATATGACTATGAATGCCGCACCCGTCGCGGAGACTGCAACGCGCGACGATCTGCATATTTTCCTGTGGTTACATAGTATTGATATCCTGGCCGGTATGTGATGGAGACTAGCATCCTGATGATTAAATACGGGGTACGTAGCATATGTAAACCGAGTTAGCCGTGTCTTCGCCGGGCAGCTCAGGAGCAGACCCGAGCCCTAGGCGCGTAATCACTCGGGGGCTATGGACACTTCAGGTGTCCGATACATTAGGCCACGCCCACTACGCCCAGGCGTCGAAATAAATGAATCAACGATTTTTAAAATTACAAAACCCATACAGAATTCTGATTTACTTTCGCGGCAACAGATGTGAGCCAGACCATTTTCACAAAAACGACTGGCAGAAAACGAAGGATGCTAGTAGGTCGGAACGGTTCAGGCGGCTCGTGCGGGGTACTGAGATCCCGACCGACGCCACAAGACGCGGGATCGCTGCACAGCAATTTGGCAACGTCCGCACCCCCGCGAGCGTCAGCTGCCGTGGTGGCCGCAGGTGGCCTGGCATCACCGTCGGAAGATCGTCGGCTTCCGCAGGTCGCACCAGCGAGGCTGTTATGGGTGCGCACCGTCACCGGTGGGCCGCTCAGAAGCGGCGGTGCGCCGACGAATGGTGCGCTGGACGCCTCTATCGGTCACTTGGTTCAGACGTATTCACAGGATCCATGAGCTAGATCACGCGGTGTGGCGCCGACCAGGGGCTGTTGCTTGCACAGAGTGAAAGGAAGCTCTCATGCCACGCTGTTCTGATAACATGCAGCGTAACGTGTTACGACCAGGAACCGGAACAAATACTATCGAAGACGGTTAACATACGCCGTCTCACACATCTGGCATAGGCCACTTCGTTTCACCACAAAACATGCAAGTATCCCAAAGCTGTGTGCTTTCTAAACGGGTTTTGCGCTGGAAGGCTGCTACGATGCATATCTGGCGATCACCACATCGCAGGTTTTCAGAAAGATCCAAACGCACCGAAAGAAGTTGGATTTTCCTCGTTAAAAAGTGGACAGACTTCTTCGGATACAAAAGCAAGGACGCTCTAACCAAATAGCACTTTTCTGAGAACACAGATTGTTACCCCTAACATTCTGGCATGAGTTCAATGAGCCGAGCCAGGTGACCAACAGGTCAGATGGGGAGCCGGGTCACCTAAGCCGGGGTCAGATGGGGAGCCGGGTCACCTAAGATTTCCTCGTGACCTGTCCTGTCCATGTCCGGCGGGCATGGATCGAGCTGGCCAGTCCGCGGCAGTGGCAGACCTCTCGGGCTGGGGGCGTTTAACCGATAACACAGCTTGAAGGGGTCACAGGAGAATGAGTAGGGCACGCACCGAACCCACCATGACTCGCGAAGCAGACCACCTTTCCGCTAATTGGCGTTGTGACGGAACGCACTTTTAGCCCGCCCGAGCTCCAGAACTAAAAGCAATGCCTTCATTAGCGCCACGTTCGTCACGGGAGATAGTAATCCGAGGGAGAAGGGATGATCCGAAGACTGTCCATTGTATGCAATGGTAGGTCGATGCACTACTGTTGCACAGAACGGCAGCCGCGTACAATGCAGCAAAGAAGACGAGTGTCGCCACAGCTACCGGAGGACATGCCAGAAGGGAGGGCAAGGTGTTTCCTCACCGGAAACACCTCTCTGTCTGAGCACGGATCGGTCGCTCCCTTTCCTGAGAGGCAGGTTCACTGACATGTCTGTGCAGTGGCGCACGTGAATGAGTGGTGGCACAGGAAACACGCGCCCTTCCGATGCATTGTTTCGCTACCACCATTGTCCGTGGCCCCCGCACACGCCTGGCGCAGTTGGGCGTCTCTGGCCTCCCCCGGCTCATCTCTGGAGCGCAACTGTTTCCACCTCAGGTCCTACTCAGGTTAAGCATTGTTGCATTCTGGGGAGGGGAGAGGGGTGACCCCTGGCATGTGGCTCGGCTGCTCTCGAGAGCGGGAATTGCCTGTAACACGGTGCGTGGCTGCTGGGGCTGACAAACGAACACCGCACAGCGAGCCGAATCGGAGAAGCCTTGCGACAGCCCGC